TAATTTTTTTTTTTTTTTTTTTTTTGAGTCGGAGTTTTGCTGTTGTTACCCAGACTGGAGTGCAATGGCTCTCCGCAGCCTCCGCCTTCTGGGTTCAGGCAATTCTCCTGCCTCAGCCACCCGAGTACCTGGAACTACAGGCGTGCACCACCATGCCCAGCTAATTTTTGTATTTTTAGTAGAGACGGGGTTTCACCTTGTTGACCAGGAGGGTCTCGATCTCTTGACCTCGTGATCCGCCCGCCTTGGCCTCCCAAAGTGCTGGGATTACAGGCTTGAGCACCGTGCCCGGCTGTGTTAATATTTTAAAGTATACTCTCAGGGCCAGGCACAGTGGCTCACACCTGTAATCCCAGCACTTTGGGAGGCCGAGGCGGGCGGATCACGAGGTCAAGAGATCGAGACCCTCCTGGTCAACATGGTGAAACCCCGTCTCTACTAAAAATACAAAAAATTAGCTGGGCACGGTGGTGCGTGCCTGTAATCCCAGCTACTCGGGAGGCTGAGGCAGGAGAATTGCCTGAACCCAGGAGGCGGAGGTTGCAGTGAGCCGAGATGGTGCCATTGCACTCCAGCCTGGGTAACAACAGTGAAACTCCCTCTCAAAAATAAAAATAAAAATAAAAAAATAAAGTAGACTCTCATTTAATCAACAGAGTAATCCCATTTCACAGATGCAGGTAGCACTTGCATCATTCTGTAGCCCCGGACCCTGCTTTGTTGTGGTGGTTCTTTAAGCACTTACTACCTGGTGCGATAATACAAAGTGCACACGGTCTCCACAAGATTGCAAGTTCCATCAGGGCGGGAATGTTACTGATTTGTTCGCTGTGGTATTCTCACTTGCGAGGACAATGTCTGGCCCATCGTAGCTGCTCATTAACTGTTCCTCAGAGGTATGAAGAAAGAGCGTCTCGGAAGTTCAGTAGTGCATCCAATGTGGAGCTCGTGATCCCATCTATTTGTCAAGTTTTTCTGAGGCTTAATGAAACAATGCAGACATATGGCTTAGCACAGAGCCTGGCACACAGTAAGCACTCGGTAAATGTTATCTGTCACCATGATTTGTGAGGTCTTCATTGGGACCACTTTCTTGCCCAGGCCCTTTAATCTCAGAGCCCTTCCTAAAGTGGGTCGTAGAGCCCATTCTCTGGCTCCAGTCAGAGTGAAAGCAATTTTTTGGTAGAGAGTTTCTGGGCTTGCAGAAAACGAGCAGCCCATTTGTTTGTGGGTTTTGGAGGCAGGACAGCTGGACTTCCATTCATGAAGGGTCCTCTTCTAACCATCCCCAAAGCCATCCAGTTGTGGCCAACCTTGAGCCACTCTTCCCAGCTTGCTGCTTCCATCTCAAGCCCTGCCCCATTCCACTGCTGCACCCTGAGAGTACCTTTTGGCGCTGGTGCCTCTGCCCACCAGGAGAGGTCAGGAGGTACCCCAGCCTCCATCAAGAAAGGGTGCATGGAGCCCTTCGGAGGCTTGGCAAGTCTGAGGAAGGGCACGTGACCTCATCTGCTCTCGACCCAGCAATGCAATAGCAGATCAATCAACCAGGTGAACTGGAGGGAGACCCTGGCCACAATAGCACTGACTGTTCACCTGGGAAAGCACAGTACAGTTAAAAGCCTATTTCTTTTTCTCTTGCAGATATCGATCTACTTAGCTTTGTGCCAGGCTGTTTGCTGGTAATTAATTTCAGAGTCAGTGCAAGGGCTGGCAGCTAACATCACTTTCCCGAATGCGCGGTGGCCTCCCTCCAAACTCATAGAGATGATGTGACTGCCTCTCTGCTACCCGAGCCGTGCTGTGACTTCAATATCTTTCATTTGGGCTGAAGTTAAGTGCAGGACCTGGACTCTGTGTTCTGTCACATTGCTAAGTGAGGGCCATGATGATTTAAAAAAAAAAAAAAAACCTCAATGTTCTTTCCAATTCCTTGATCCTGGAAAACAGGAAATGATGTCGTTTGTTTCCTTCAGTCCACGTGAAAACCTTTGGCTCTTCCTGGACCTGGCTCTTGTTTTGACTTTGCCATTAGCTAGCTGTGTGATTCTGGCTCTCACATCCCATCTCTGAAGTGGTTTCCTCATATGTTCAATGAGGGGTTTGAGCTAGATAATTTTAACTAATATCCGTATGGTACTTTACATTCTAGATAGCATTCAAACCCACATTGGCTCAGTTTGCCATTTATAATTGCCTAGTCTTGATCTGTGTCTCGGTTTCTTCATCTGTAAGATGGGGATACTATCAGTACCTCCTGATAGGGTTGTGGTGGGGATTAAAGGAGCTTGGGGCCGGGCGCGGTGGCTCACACCTGTAACTCCAGCACTTCAGGAGACCGAGGCGGGTGGATCACGAGGTCAAGAGATCGAGAGCATCCTGGCCAACACAAGGAAACCCCGTCTCTACTAAAAATACAAAAATTAGCTGGGCGTGGCGGCGTGCACCTGTAGTCCCAGATACTCGGGAGGCTGAGGCAAGAGAATCTCTTGAACCTGGGAGGTGGAGGTTGCAGTGAGCCAAGATCGCGCCACTGCACTCCAGCCTGGGTGACAAGAGCAAAACTCCCGTCTAAAAAAAAAAAAAAAAATGCTTAGACAAATGAAGTACTCAGACCTGTGGCTGCACCTGGTAGATGTTAGCAGTTGCCCCCAGCACCGTCATCATCGCCTCATAGCAGCCCTAAGGTGAGCCTTTATTTTTCCAGTCTTATAGATAACGAAGCATTTGCTCCTAAACTGCTTAATAATTGACAGAGCAGGATTCACCTGCAGACTTTCCAGTTTCTGTGAGGCTTTCCTAAGAGGCTAAGTGCCCGGGGAAACTGAAGAAATGACACATCAAATTGCCCCCTCTCCCTGCAAGGAGGGCAGTAGTATTAAATGTGCGCTCTGAAGAAGACAAGGCTTCCCTTCCATGCCGGTTTTTTTTTTTTTTTTTTGCCAGAAGGCCGCTGTTCACTCTATCCCCCTAAGCAGGACCCCAGAGACCACGCTGTCCTCTCCTGGACACCCACTGTTTCCAGCTTCTCACCACCACCTGCTTCTTTTCAGGCAAGAAAGTTCCAGAGGCGGGCAATTAAGTCATTTAAGACCATTTTCATGGTGGATCTTTACTGAATTTTTTTAAAGCAATATTTATGTCCCTTAGACATTTCTGAGAAGACTTAGCTGTTCTTTTAAAAACATCACTTCAGCGCCAATGAAAAATAGAATCCAGCCTTAGTAATAAATTTTAAAAACATACACACACAAAAGTTATCAGCCTGCAAAACGATGTTTCCTAGCCTTCCCACACGTCTTGGGATTTTAACAACGTCCCATCTGTTGATGTCAGTCAGAAGAGGCAGGTCTGTATTCTCTAATTTTATTAAAACCCTTTCTGGCTAGTAACCTGATTTCTATTAGGCTGGCCTCCTTACTTTCAGGCCCCAGGCCTGTGGACCCGTGCCAGTCCGCATGGCTGACAGAAATGGGGATGCTTAATCAAAAATCTGTTTAGCTTGTGCTTAATAAGGAATGTTTTCTCTTGCTCTTGTTACTAATTGCCGAAGATGTCTGTGTTTGGATTAAAACTTTGTCCCCTGCCATCTGGATGCCATTGATACATCTCAGCTCAGTCGTGAGCTTGGTGTTATCAGTGGTTTCCATGTCAACAGATGACAGCGTCATCTGTGGAATCGTGTGATCACAGTGCACAGTGAAGGAGCCAGCCTTGGGAACGAGGACGCTCTGCTTTCACACCTAAATATCTTCACTGATTTCCAGACATTGCTTTGAAATTATTTCCGTTTTGTGCCAATTACATTTACATGCAAAATTGCAGTGCAAATGTTTTTGGCCATTTGGGAAAAGAGACAATGGACTTGCTGGTACCTACAGTTCCAATCAGTGGGAAAGACATCTTCTCAAAGAAGTCTTTTCAAATCTCCAGGTGATACAAAATCTGTTTACTCTCTGAATCCAAGCAATGTACCATATACGCTAAGTGGCAATCTCAGGTAAAGTTCAGAAGTCTGCACGTAAGGGCGGCAGTGATATATTGCTAGCTATTTTCCAAGGGGACTCTGGGACTCAAGGTCTCATGCAGCCTGTCTAAATATAGCATTGGCAACAGCAGTTAATAGACAGTACTGAAATAATTAAGGAAAAAAAAAGAAAGAAAGAAACACCCTTCAACTTTAAGCTGTGGTCTGCAGTGTCCAATAGAAGATTAATAAGAGATGAATTTTAATCATCTTTTTTTTTTTGTTTTGAGACAGAGTCTTGTTGCCCAGGCTGGAGTGCAATGATGCCATCTCAGCTCACTGCGACCTCTGCCTCCCAGGTTCAAGCAATTCTCCTGCCTCGGTCCCTCAAGTAGCTGGGATTACAGGCATGCACCACCATACCTGGCTAATTTTGTATTTTTCTTAGAGACAGGGTTTCACCATGTTGGCCAGGCTGGTCTCAAACTGTTAACCTCTGGTGACCCACCCGCCTCAGCCTCCCAAAGTACTGGGATTACAGGTGTGAGCTAATGCTCCCAGCCTTAATCATCTTTTCTAGGAATTTCATGATTTTGATTAAGAATATAGATCATTGAGGCTGGGTGCGGTGGCTCACGCCTGTAATCCCAGCACTTTGGGAGGCTGAGGTGGGTGGATCACGAGGTCAAGAGATCGAGACCATCTGGTCAACATGGTGAAACCCCGTCTCTACTAAAAATACAAAAAATTATCTGAGCATGGTGGCGTGTGCCTGTAATCCCAGCTACTCAGGAGGCTGAGGCAGGAGAATTGCCTGAACCCAGGAGGTGGAGGTTGTGGTGAGCCAAGATCGCGCCATTGCACTCCAGCCTGGGTAACAAAAGTGAAACTCCGTCTCAAAAAAAAAAAGAATATAGATCATTGGAAAATCGTTTCCTTATGAGGTAGACTGCAGTAGCAACCACAAAAAAACATATTATATGAACCTAAGAAAATGAGCCTGATAGCGCCTACTTTATTTCTTCTTCCTTAGATCAAGAATGCTGCAGCCAATGTCCTTCGGGAAACATGGTTAATCTACAAACACACAAAGCTGCTAAAGAAGATTGACCATGCCAAAGTCAGGAAGCACCAGAGGAAGTTCCTCCAGGCTATCCACCAGTGAGTATGCCACAGCGGTTCAGCCGTCACACGCCAGGCTAGGCGTGGCGGGACTCCTACAGCTCTGTCAGTACTTTCTCACGTACCCAGGAGGCACAGAAGAAATCCGTTCTGTTCCACTCAGCAAGTGGAGTGGTGAACTGGGTCTGATCATTCACTGACTGCACCAGCCACGTGCCAGGAATTGGGCAGGCTGCTCTGGAAGGTAAAAGCTAGAGTAAGAACCTCTAAGGGCTTTCACATTCTATACACACACACACCCCACACACTATACGTCACACACACCATACACACTACACACACTATACGCCACACATCACACACACTACACATACCACACACACTATTCATCACACACACACCACACACCACACATCACACACACCATACACACCACACACTATACATCACATACACACCACACATCACACACATCACACATACTATACACACCACACATACTATACATCACACACACCACACATCACACACACTATACATACAACACACACTATTAATCACACACACACCACACATACCATACACCACACATCACACACATTATACACACCACACATACTATACATCACACATACACCACTCATGACACACACACTATACATCACACATGCACTACACACACCACACATCACACACACTATACACACACCACACATCACACACATACCACACACATACATACCCACACCTCACACACACCATAAGACCACAAACACCACACACACACATCACACACCAAACACACCACATATCACATACACACCACACACACTACTCACACCACACACATCACACATCACACACACACCACACACAACATACATCACACACCATGCACACCATACACAAACACCACACACCCCACACACCTCCCACACACCACACACACCACATACCACACACACACCACATATAACACACATGTCACATGCACCACACACAACACACACAACATACCACACACACATCACATACAAGCTCACACCCCACACTCCACAATTACACACACCACACATACACTACACACACCACACATCACACACACCCACACAAACACACACCCCATACACACGTAACATACACACAAACCATACACACATGCCCCCACACACCAAACACACCATATACACACAAACCACACACACCACACACTCCATACACACACCACGCACACCACAAACAAACCACATACACCACACACAAACCACACACACATACAACACACAACCCACACATACCAACACTCCATACACACACCAAAAACCACATACACCACACACACACATCACACACATACCACATGCCTCCACACACAGCCCCCCCCACACACACACACAACACAGAAACTACAAACACATCACATACAAAACCCACACAGAACACACCACACACATACACCATGCATTGCAACTCAAATCAAACTGCTGCTTTCTGTGATGGGAGAGTTTGTAAAGTATAGTGGAAAAGCGAAGGATGAAAACATTTATTCTGATGGAGAGGTTTGGGGACCCCCTGAAAAGCTGAGAATAATGCACTCAAGATGGAAGGCGCAGCCCAGGTATAGAAGAGGCAAACAATCTGGGAATAGCAAGGAGACAGGTGACTGCAGGTGAGCATGGGTGGGGACAAGAGTTTGCTTTCTGGGGGCTCTGACAGGCCCCAGGAAAGTAAAAGCCTCAGTTGTTCCCCAGGTTCACAGTCCCCATGCTGGGTCCCCAAATCAGAGGCAGTGGTAAGGCTGGGGGCTGCTAGTGCGGCTGAACCTCTGCATGGACCTGAAGGGCTTGCCTGTTATCACTCTTCCCCACAGGCTGAGGAGCGTCAAGATGGAGCAGAGGAAGCTCAGCGACCAAGCCAACACCCTGGTGGATCTTTCCAAGGTGAGTGGCAGCATCTGGGGATGTCCCCTAGAATACAAGACACTGAGTCTTCTCAGGCGCACCTGTGAGTCCTGGCAAGGTTCACACTTTGCGGGACCAGACAAACAAAGAAAACTTCTCGCTTGGTTCAGAAACGCCCAGGCTCACGTTGGCTCCATTTGCCATCTACCGGTGTATCTTGTAGTCTTTTAAAACTTGGCGTTAGTTTCTTAAGTGACATCGCTCAGGTGCGTCTTTGCATGGAATTAATGAGCTGGCCTACTAAATCTTTTCCATGTCATTTTATGGGCTGCACATGGAGGGACTGCTGTGGCTGGGCTTCCGTTTGCAGTGCTGTGAAGCGCACTAGCGAGGACCAGACAGTGACGGTGGCCATGCTGACTGCCCAGGTCACACCGGTTTGCTGTAATACTTAGAAGTTCATTTTTCTGCATCCTCCAATCCTTACCAGCCAGTTTTTCTGGCCTCAAGTTGGTGACCGTGGTGTGTGTGTGGGGGTGCATGTCTTTACATGAAGATACCGAAAAAGAGCGCCTTCTTTTGAGAACCCTAAGGTGTCAGGCTTGCCATCATTCTTTCACTCTGTGTTTCTGGTCCTGAGCTGCCATAAATACTGTAAAGAAACTCTCTCGTCTTGCAAATCACCCAGGTGAGGGAGCTGAAGGCCGCACTGCTAGAGCTGAATTGGAGCCCTCCCTCCTCACTGCCTCTTGATAGGAATTGTATATTGTATACAGCTCAGGGTCAGGCTGGTGGAACATTCCAGCAGATGTCAATTATCATAATGGAACACGTTCCCTGGGTAAGCAAGAGACACTCCCTCAGGCATATTAAGCACCCTTCGAAAAGGGTGCAGAGAAATCACTATTGCGGGGCCATGTGCGTGCGCCTTGTTCAGTAAAGGGACTGAGCCACAGAAAGGGCCTCCTAAACCTGTGAGGACTTCAGTCAGGCTGTCAGCGGCTTGGCACCACTGGGGAGAAGCCCCCAGGCCTGTGTGCCTTCAGAGGAGGGTGTTCACGTGGAGTGCAGCATGGTTCCTGGGAGCGTGGAGTGGGAGTGGAACGTAGGCATGCAGGAGAGAACTCCCTCAGGTTTTGGGTGTGTTGGTTTTAATATCAGAAACCCACTGGGACTAGGTTTAAAAATGGAGAAATCTATTCTAAGGCTAGAAGGGAGTCTCATTCCAGGCAGAGCCTCAAAGGAGGCATGTGGCCAGACTGCAGGAAGGAACTGACTTGAAGCAGACCTGGGAAGCCCCCCTCGCCAGGGGGGAGGTGAGGTCTCTCACCATTGCTTCTCTCTCCTTCTGTGCGAGTGACTGCTTCAGTTCTCTCTCCCTCTCCCTGTCTCTCTCTTCCTTTCCCTCTTTCTCCCTCTCTTTCTATCCCTGTATGCCTCTTGTCCCCACGACAGACTGTAACAGGCTCCAATTCAGAGATTACCTATGACAGTTTTAGCCACAGGCGAAGACTCATTGGCCCTTTACTGGTCTTAATTCTAAATTCTCAGAAGAGATGATTGGCCAGTTTGGGCCCTGTATCCACCCTGGGACCAATCAGCTTTGGCTGGGAAGAGGGCCATAGAGAGCAAACAGAGCCAGGGGCCCACTTGTGACTTCAGGAATAGCCCATCAACATGCCCCAGGATGCTTCTTCCACGAGTGGCGGTGTTTCCTGTCTCTCCTCTCACTTTGCAGGACAAACTGTGACCGATGTTCCCTGGGGACATGGGACAAACTCAACTTTCAGGCCTGCATTTCTGCAATGTCACCCACCGCCTCTCAGAGACATGGGGCCCACAGAGCAGACCAGGTGAAGCGAACACCTCAGTGAACTGCAAAGACGCTCCTGTATTGGGTGGGGGAACTAAGCCATCAGTAACCCAGGAGCAAGTTACCTGGGAAGAAAGAGTGTGCAGAAAAGGGTTAAGAGAAAAATCTGCAGAGCAAAAAGTTCGCAGGAGGCGAGCTCTGACGTCCCTCCTGTCTGTCTTTTCCTCCCAGGAGACTCAGCCAAGGTCCTGGCAACAGCTTAGCACACTTCACACTGGTCCACATTCCCCCTGGCATCCTGTCACCAAGCAACAGAGCAGGGGAGATAACACTGTGTTCTCTCTCTTTTCTGTCTGTGTGCTGTAGCCTCCCAGCTCAGCGCCTTCCCACTCCTGCCCTTTGGTCCTCTCTAAATTAAGAATATGGCATGTGGCCTCCACATATTATGTCTGTATTGAATTGCTGTCCTATAGGCTGGCAGAGCTGGGAGGGCTTGGAGTCTTTTCCTGATTGCTTCAATTACTTCAATTGAAATGTAAAAATGATTCCTACCTTCGGAGGCTCAGGTGGTCGGATAAGATGATATCTTTGAAAATGCTTCGTAAACTAGAAAGGTTTTGCAGATGGTAGTTCTGATTATGAATATAGATGAGGAAACCAAGACCCAAAGGAACAAAGTGACATCCCACGGTCGGGCAGTTGGTGAGCACCAGCGTGAGGGCCTAGACTCTGCATCCAGAGCTCATCAGGGCTCCCCTGCGGTCAAATGAAATGGGTGATTTTGCACATTCTGGAAGAGGGTGCACCTCGAGGGGCTCTGTCATGTTGATTAATAAAGGGAGAACTTTCACTTCTAATGTCGCCCTGTCCTCCAAGGGCACTCACGACACAGTGTCCTGCTCTGGCAACAGCACAGCTCATGGGAGCAGGGCCATCTCCATGCTGCTGCTCAACCTTTCCCTATGCTGCCCAGTGAATTTCCCTGTGGCGCACGGAGTCTTCCGGGGAGGGTCGCTGCGTGTCGCATCCCTGCTCCCTTCATTCTTCTCTGGCTTCTCACATCTTCTTTTACTCCTCTTTTTCCTCTTGTCTTCCTTGCTGCTTCTTTGGTCCCTGGGACACAAATGGTTTCTGTATCTTCCTGGAGCAACCTGAAATTTCAGGTGAAATAGGATTGGCATGTCACTGGCAGATCACCAGAAACCCAAAGAGCCACAGTGTCTTGGGGATGACCAAGCAACCCCCGGTCTGGCCCTCTCCATTGCCACCCCAGGAGCCTCACTCCCTGATGCCTGGGAGCCTGAAGACGCCCATGAATCTTGTTCCCAAGTCTGATGTGCACAGCCAGGATGGCATTTGCTAACTTGCTGGAAGGAAAACATCTGTCGCATAGACTGGAACTCTGCAGACCAACAAGGGGGTGACAGGGTATTGGGGAAGGAGCACTAGTAATCGGCCGGCACCCCTGGAACACGGGGAGTCAGTGTGAGGGCAGGAGGGGCATTGGGGAGCACACTCAGGACCGCTGCCAAGGAATGAGGGCCGCTGGATTGGTCAGAGGGAGAGTTTGAACTGTGAGACAGTCAACAAAGACCTCAGCCGGTTGGAAGGACCCTTCAGGGATGTCTCAGTGGGAGGCCTTGTGGACGAGGCAGGGGAAGGGCCACCCTCAGCAAGGCAGCCCCCTTTGGCTAAGCACTGTGCCTGGGAGTTCATTCACTTTACATCCTGGCTGCTGTGTTAACATGGAGGTTGGGGGATGTGCAATAACTCCTAACTGTATATAGTTACTAACTCCGATTTTCTAAGGCAACCGAGATTGAGAGAGGCCAGGCGCCTGGCAGAGGGCACGTTGTTGCTGGGCTGCAGATGTGCACTTAAACCCTGGTCTACGAATTCCACAACTATGCACTATCCATTCCCCACCAGCAACATTTCTGGAATCATTAGATGCCAGCAGCCATGTGAGCTGAGAGTCCGTGGCCCTGTAAGAACATGTGACAGTTTAGAGACTCACTTAATTTAAGGAAAAAAGGGGCCACTTTTTCCCCCTTGGTACATGTTCTCTAATAAAACACTGTCATTAATACTCATTACTTTTGTAATAAGAAAAAAAATGTCCACACTTCAGCCTCCCTGTCTTTGGGAAATAAACCTGTGTCCTTCCTTGACCAGATCAGCTGGTGTGGAAGTGGCTCCTGTCATGCTGTGGAGGGCATTTCATTTCTCCCATTGCAGCTTCCTCTGTGATGACCTGTCATCTCCCTGTCTCTCGCCTCTCCCTCTCTCCACACAGATGCAGAATGTCATGTATGACTTAATCACAGAACTCAATGACCGGAGCGAAGACCTGGAGAAGCAGATTGGCAGCCTGGAGTCCAAGCTGGAGCATCTCACCGCCAGCTTCAACTCCCTGCCGCTGCTCATCGCCGACACCCTGCGCCAGCAGCAGCAGCAGCTCCTGTCTGCCATCATCGAGGCCCGGGGTGTCAGCGTGGCAGTGGGCACCACCCACACCCCCGTCTCTGATAGCCCGATTGGGGTCAGCTCCACCTCCTTCCCGACCCCATACACAAGTTCAAGCAGTTGCTAAATAAATCTCCCCACTCCAGAAGCATTACCCATAGGTCTTAAGATGCAAATCAACTCTCTCCTGGTCGCTTTGCCATCAAGGAACATTCAGACCAGGGACTGGAAAGAAGAGAGACCGAGCTAATTAACTAACTCATGTTCATTCAGCGTGCTTGGTCCGACATGCCTTGAAACCAGAAATCTAATCTCTGTTTAGGTGCCTCTACTTGGGAGCGGGAAGAGGAGATGAGGAAGCGACGCCTCTGGCAGGGCCCTTGCTGCAGAGCTGGTGGAGAACAGAAATCCACGCTCAATCTCAGGTCTTCACGTGGGGGGTGGGGGTCAGATGCACTGAAGTAGCCAACAGTGAAGCAAGTCCAGAAGAGGGGTCCACTGGGAGAGGGGGTCATGTCAGGCTTGGGGAATGGGTTCTTTACCATGGGGGTCTTTGAACACGCCTGCCTCTCTTCCTTTTGTCTACAGAAGCCTCTGTGTGACGAAAGGAAAAGAGAGCTGCCCACAACTTGCCAAAACAAATATACCCAAATCAGACCGAAAAAAAAAAAAAAAGACACAGACGAATAAAAAGCCAGGTTTTCCCCTCAATATAAACACCCATATAAACCTGTGTGTTTGCAAGCGTGTACATGTACACACACACATCCAGCTTTCGGTCCAGGTCCTTTCTTATTTGAGCTTAATCCAAATAAAAAGGGACTTGACACCTTACCCTGCACACAGTAGGCACCCGTTCCATGGGTGTTGAGCTGGTTTGAATCTGAACGTGGGGTGCTTTCAGTTCAGGTAGTTGTCTAGCACCGGACACATTCTGAGTTTCACTGAAGGTGCGGTCCCTTCAGACACAATGCACATTGCTTCGTCCTGGATATGCCCCTTGCTTGATTTGAAATGGATGCCAAGCCAAAATTGTTGGCATTCAGGAGGGGTAAGCAGGCTTCTAAAAATAACAGCATCTACGGTTTTCTTCTTCCATCCAAAGAAGCTTGTGTTTTGATGGACCACATGACCAGGTGTATGTCTGTATGCGTGGGAGGGAGAGGACAAGAAATTGTGCGTGTGTGTGTGCAGACATGTACCGACAAGAGCAACTCAATAACACCTTAGAGAATAGAAGTATGCTTTGGAGATTTGCTGAGCTGTATTTATCCGGCAACAGGTTTCCAGCCCCAGATGTTAGGAGTGCAAAAGGGCCAAGTGCCTCACCTGTGAGCCTCTGAGCTGGGAGAAGTGATGAAGCGTGGCCCATGTGGTCCCTTCTACCTGACCTGAAGTCATCTCAGAATGAAATGTTGTGAGAATAAAGGGAGCCCTTAGGGAGCCCTGTGGGTAAGGTAAGAGGACATAGATTTGTCAGTAGCCTGTTCCCACTGTGCCATGTTAATCTTGGTGCAAAAACTATTCCGATGCATCTCAAACTCCAAGAGACTTCAGAAACATCAAGGTTCAGTGTGGTGAGAGGCACTGAAAAATTTTTTCATTGCTCCGTAATCTGACCACACGTAGCATTCATGGTATGAAAACTGTTGCGTTACTCATCACTTTTCTCATTCTGAGGTCTTTGGTTTCTGCCTGTGGGAAATTGAATGGCACTGTGTGGACTATTTCATCTGTGGCAGGTAAAACTAAAGAGTGATTTTTTGCCTGTGGTTGTCATCTTGGGTTTACCTTTGTAAGAAGACATCATCGCCATTCTGAAGGCAGTGCCTTGGCATGGAGATTTTTCTTCTGCAGCACTGGACCTGTTCTTCTAAGGACAGCACAAGGTAGACAACTGCAGAGCCAAAGCCGCTCTTTCAGGAAGATCCAGTCTCTTGCTAGCGCTCTTCTGTCTCTTGCTATTGCTGCTGCTCCTTTGATGCTTTATAGTCTTAATGGCTTGCCTTGATAATTCCTTTGAACACTTTCGTTAGTCGTTTTGCATACCAGAGATGCCACACTTGCTGTTGGCTTATTTTTTTACTTGTCCTTTTAACTGTTGATTATCTGAAAGTTTCCCCTCCTTTTTTCATGTCCCAAGAATGGTGCTCCTGTTTTCAGTGACAGTTCAGCTGAACATATAAGCAGATGTGTAAACAGATGAAATAACCATGCAGTTTCCTTGTGGTATTAGTTCCATTTCACGAAGTGAAGACCACTGGTGGGCTGATCTGAGTGTGCCAATCCTTATCATTTAAACCTACAGCCTTCAACTAGTGATTCTTATTCACCTCTTTCATTCTGCTGTAACCCCGTGATATGTGTGCATGTGGGTGTGGGTGTGGGTGTATGCGCATATAGAGATTTAGTCTTAATTTCAACCAAATGACATGCAAGATTCCACTGCCACTCTTCCTGGCCAAAAGTGTGCACAGACTGTGATTTATCCATTGTGGTCTGCGAATAATTCTTTCACCCATCACTGATGCTCTCACTTAGTTAAACCCTAAAGACCAAACTAGCAACATTAGTCAAGGAAGTGATGGGAGTTCTTTCTGGTAGCAGTAGCCACTGGCATCCTAGAAACACATGGACATTCGTAGCATGACTTGACCTATTGGTAGTGCAATAGCTATATATGATTTTTTTTCTTGGCAAGATAATACTTATGCTTCAAAAAAAAATGATCGAACCTGCACGTTGATCCTGTAATAGCAAATGGAAAGCTATTCCTCTGTACTAGCATTCAGCTTTATGTGGGAAAGTTACCTGTTCTGCCGCAAGTACAATCAACTCTTGATGACTTAGGTATAATTATTCTGGGTGTAACTCACCCAAGTTTTCTTCCTACACCTTTCGGCTAATTCCACCACACCTCAGCATCACAGTCAGATGGGAAAAGGGGCAGGTGGATTCTTATGTCATGCCTTCTTGCACCTTACTTTCAAGTTTTGTAGTGGAGGAGGTTTAATTATCTGCTCAAGAATTGGCTATAGCCAGGCGCAGTGGCTCACACCTGTAATCCCAGCATTTTGGGAGGCCGAGGAGACAGGATCACCTGAGATCAGAAGTTCAAGATCAGCCTGGCCAACATGGCGAAACCCCATCTCTACTAAAAATATAAAAATTAGCTGTGTTGGTGGGTAGCTATAGTCTCAGCTACTTGGGAGGCCGAGGCAGGAGAATAACTTGAACCCGAGAGGCAGAGGTTGCAGTGAGCTAAGATTGCACCACTGCTCTCCAGCCTCTCAAGCAAGGCTCCATCTCAAAAAAAAAAATTGGCTATATGTAAAAACTATTAATTATGGTAACCTCACTTCAATACTGTACTGATCAAGATGTGCCCACTCCTGGAGGACTGACCCAATGGCAGATCCCCTCCTATAATCTTTCTGATAACTCAGTGACAGATAAAATCACTCTAATATTCCCTAAAATATCTAGACACTTGAATTAGAAATAAGGAGCCACCCCCCTCCCTGTTGCTTAAGCCATATTATAGCTTCATGTACTGTAAAGTCAGGGATGTACTGTGATACTTTAAGACCACTAATCTCAGTGGAATTCAGGACATAGCATTAGTTGGTAAATTATACCAGAGTAGGGGCTCATTCCTCCTTAGATTGAAGTCCAAATAAAAGTCTTCACCCTTGGATCAAAGGCCACACATATGTGATCATCATCAATAAATTGTCATAAAGTGTCTACGAACTGTTCTTGCCATCTTCATAACACGTAACTTCATGACATCATGTCTCTAGAAGTGCTTAATACAATCCAAAAGAACAAGAGGGGGAAGGCCCCGAGCCACCACTGACCGACCTCAGCAGGGGCCAGTGGTAGAACAACAATCTTGTGAATTAGGAGACATAGAAAATGTACGCGAAAGTAAATTCCAAGCACTGAGCATATACAAGCTATTTTTATTATTAAAGGCCAAGAAGGAACAGCATTGAAGAAGTAATGATTTTAATCTATTGGGGGATTTCCCCCTTAAATTTTTATAATTTCTTTGTGAATAAACAATCATGGAAAAGAAGAAACCTAGTGATACAGAATCAGAATAAATAAAAATCTAAGACTGGATCCACATCTTTGGCCAATTCATATAACCACCTCATTCATCAGTTTCTCTGTACCTAAAAGAAGAGAATAGTTAATATTCTTAAGTACAAAGAATTCAATAGAGAACAACTGAAATCCCCTTTGTCATCAACAGCAGCCTAGACTGACTGTATCCAATCCACAACTTGATGTTACATTTGAATGCAGTCAGTAGCTACCAAAAAGTGCATATTAAATAGTGGTAAAATCAGCAGGGAGAAGTATGGGATTAGCACATAGTCCCAGGACTTTCCTCCTCCTCCAGAGTGCAACTCAACAAACAGTACACTCCAAATTGAGAATCAGTGTTTCACCCAGAACAAACGGTGTTGCTCCCATCACAGTGCCACAGCTGAAATACTGTGAAGTCATTGCACTACCAGTAGGTCCTACTCTTTTTAAGTTACTGTTTTTAAATCCTAAAATATGTCCCCAGTTTTCTATATTCATTCTTCTCTGAGAGTTGCTAGAAGCAGATGAAGGATCCCTATTGACTCTGCAGGGTTGGATTTCAGTACCTTAGACAGCTACCTTGTGGCTTCCCGGGAGGCACAAACAACCCCTTCTCTCTCCTTGCAGTCCGTGGGCTTGCTGACGCCCCGACACTATCCTTTCCTTCTCTACTGCCGCCCAAGTAAACGTTCAGGAAATGGGATCATTGGCACCACTAAGAAAGGAGTTTACAGGGATAGAAATATTAACTGTCTGCTTGTGGTAGTAGAAAGCTTGTGCCAGGCTGCATGAATAGAAATTAACGTTAAACTCCTGTCAGACAAGTAATACGTAGATTTTTATTGAAACAGACCGCAGCTTATTAAAAAGTACTCAGTGCAATGGTATATACATATATACAGATAGAAAAAATATATAACTGTGATCTTTTTGTCTTATGCCATTACTGGAAACACCCAAACATGAACTGGAGCTCCCTCTGAACAAAACCATTGTCAAATCTCCAACTTATGACCTCCAAATCTAGGTGCCAAGTGCCCTGTGACAGTTGTTTACACACCTGAAAAATGTATCCTGGAAGCTGTAATCTTGGGCGTGGGCTATGTGTTGAAACAAAAGAGACATCGTGACCAACCAAGCTGGTGGAGGAAAAGCACAAAATTCAACACCAACCTGCAGTTAGGATCCCAAAGAGATGTTGACATTTATAGCCAAAAAGAAAAAGTACATATACATGTCTGAATCTGATCAAAGCAGCCAGCATCCAGCTTCACAGAAGAAGGACATGGAATAAACATCCTCTAGCTGTGTCATGTTGTCTCGGTTTTTGAATCTCAACCAGGACTGATCCACCTTCATCAGATACGGTTTTTAATGGCGCAACAACTCAGTTTTGGTCCCAGACTCTCCATTCTGCACTGGCCACAAGAGAACAGCAAAAGAGAATGACAGGATGTTAATGGAGGAAATATTTTCATGGCAAGCTCAGAAACTGAAGTGTTTCTATTCAGAATCAGACGAGCTTTAATATGAATTTGCATCTTGCCTCTGTACTGCTTGCTATTTTTTAATGATAGGAGAAAGCATAACAGTTTATTTTAAATATGAAATATATTGATATATTATAAAATATATTGTAACTTTCAACTAACATTTTGTATCAAACTAGTGTTTAGCAGGTTGACTGTCAGCCCGCTCTCCCAGTGACTGTTTCTGAGTACACATCACTGTTAATGATTGCCAGGCACCCAGACCAAGGGTCCTCCTACCACAGCCTACTGAACTGCCATGTTCTAATTCTCCCAGGCCTGAGTATTAGAGACAAAAGAACATTATTCCAAGCTTGGAAAAATAATTCTACCCTAAGTTCTATCAAGCCATTTGAGAAGAGATTCTAAAAGCCATCACTTTAGTAGCTGTGCAAACCAGTTTAATAAAAGTGCAGGCTCTTTCTATATAAATCCAAAGGCCTCATTACGTAAATTATGTAAGTCTCAAACTCAGCCAACCAACTTTCCTTTGACAATGTCAGAATTGGGTATAAGGAAGAGTCCTGTTTTCCTGTAACTGAAAATGCTCAAAATTCTAGCCATTCGGAGTTTCTCTGTGTAAGTGAAACCGGGGTTGGCTTTCCAGTCTACACAAGGCCCAACAGGAGTCCAGTGTGCAGATGTGCTTTTCTAAGTTGGCCGTACCCGTGAGGGAGCAAGGTTCCCACACGTTTATCAACAACATGGAGCCAAGCTCCTAAGGGAGTGATGGGAGGAGCCAGCAGGACATGAACAGCCAGAGCCAGCAAAGAGCTGGGCTGCCTTTTTTGCTAGCTTCCTCTAGCTGGGAGGAAATAAAGAGTTCCCATTGAGATATTGTCCTTTATGGCAAAATTAAGCAACTCATGGAATCCACAGCCCCCTTTCTCTGTAGAGCAGCTGAGACACACATGTGGAAGTTCTCAGTTCCCTCCTTCGTATGGCTAAGGCCCTCCTTCTAGATGAAAACAGGATGTGTGTGGTTACATGAATCAGTGAGCCTCTTCTCACCAAGGACCCTCACTTGCTATTGTCGCTTTGGTGTGATATTGTACAGGTGCGAACCAGGTTGCACTGGGGCAGGTTCAACTGAGCTTGTGTGTCTCTTCCCTTCCCAAACCCTGGAAATTCACATCGATTTACAGACAGTGCAAAACAAGTTTTCTCCTGGGAAAAGGCTGGAATCCTCTCAAATTTCAATTTATGTCAGCTTAAAGGTAGATAAGTCTTGGGCCTCAATGACAGTAGCTATTCATGCTGTCTGAAAGAGAAATGTCTAAAGGCCCGTTTCCAGGCTGTTTGTGTAACTGAGCCCTAACTCGCACACAGTTTTCTTTTTATGGAGCTAAATTCTTCAGTATCTGTATTTTACTCCTCAGTTGTATGTTAGGCTGAGCTCCACTAAAGCCATCTGAACTCCAGGGCACCTGTTTTTATAAGGTTACTTACTCATCAGATAATGGAAATTAGCCTATTTTCAATTTTACAATTGATCGATGAATGTATTGTGGTAATTGATTTATTTCTTAACATTTTTCTGCTACTAAATGCGTTTTTCTTTTAGTTTTTCCTTCTAACATTGCTCAGACTAAGACTTACATTTATAAAGAGCAAATATATTCTGACCTATCCCCTCAAAGTTGTATTCCAGCTAGAATCAAGGATATAAATGCAAATTCATCATTTGGGGAAAGCAGACCCCTTGACAGTAATTCAAGTCCATGGCTACCTGCTAACCCTTGCTACTCAAAGTGTGGTCCACAGACCGGCAGCGTTGGCGCCATCTGTAAGTTTGTTAGAAATGCACAATTCTCAGGCCCCACACAAAACCTTCTTCATCAGAACTGGGCTTTTAACAAATCCCCAGGTGACCTGCGTGCACCGGAAATACTGATAAGCGCTGGCCTCACCTCAGCACAGTGATAACCAACCTCGTTAATAATTAGAGAATGAAACTGTTTCTTCCTGGCCTCATTTACAGAATTATTTGATGATACGAAGGTTCTGAATGATCATAAGGATAAAAACAAATGCATCTTAAAGTTCCACTTGAGGCTATGTAGCTTGAATGGTCTACATAAAACATAATAAAATCAGTAAGAGAGAGTCTTTTTCCGGTCTTGTCTAAACAGCAGCCACTTCATAGCCTTGAGCCACCTCGAAGCCCCTGTTTTTAAGTTTTAGTCTTTTTTTTTTTTTAGCCTAGGCTACCAGGGCATCAGAATATCAGGTGGAACCTCAGGGCATGTCCTCTGGAAGGCTACAGGGGTCTCTGCTTAGCATAGTGCAGGAATTGTTGTGTTTTTTCATCCCTGTGTTCTTTCCTTGAGGAACTCAGCAGCTCACCAGAACTCTCCTCCCCTAGAAGAAACTAGCAAGAGAAGTTAGTTTAACCAGCTCGAAACATCCCTAATCTCCTTTAAAGCCAATTCTCTTATTCATTGCACCAACAAGAAACACTCCAAGGTGGGCAAGAAAAGATGTGAATTCTGATCATTGGCGCCATAACTTGATATGTACCCAGAAACAGTTACGCTCTAAATTAATGGCTTTAACCTGTTCATTGTAAAAAGTGCCTTGGACTTCAATCTAAAGAGGTCAGTATAAATATGTATGTGTGTGACGTGTATGTAGGCAAATATTTAGATTTATACATACATAGGTGCACACACATAAACCCGCACATTCATATAAAATATATACATACATATATAAATGCTTCATAATATATCATATTGCTATTCACCGCTCCATTTCTTTGGTCTGGTCCTATGTTTATTTGTTTAGTGAGACCTTTACATAGAGAGGTTCTATTCAGAACATTGATGTATTTTTTGTTTGTTTTTTACTTTTTATTAAAAAGGTAAAGGATATTAAAAAAAAAAAAAAAAAGTCAAGTGCCTGAAGGTTTTGAATGGAGTTACGGTAAACTTTCTCAGGTCACCAAAGAGGAAACTGATTTTTCCCTTGGAAAACGTTTTTCTGTTTCACTGACTGTTTTCCCTTGGTGGTAATGCATAAATAAGAGTGGTTAAAGTGGTTTCGTAAGTTTTATTTCAGTCCATTTCTGTGGTTCCCATAAGGCAACAGCTGAAAATTTGTTCAGTCTAGTGCCCAGTCTTCTCCACACATCAGCATCAGAAGCGCCCGGTCTTCACATGCTGTGCGTGGTTTTATTCTCATTGTGTTGTGTTCCTGACTAAGGGAAGGCAAATGAAACTGCAGGGGCTGGAGCTTAGATCAGCTCCAAATATGGCTTCCTTTTGGTAACATACACAGAAGGTGGACTAGAGGGAAATCTCTCTCCCTGAATCAGGTGGGAACCTGTGTCTTGGAAGGCAGAGGAGTCCTAGCGAACTCTTCACAGCTCCATGGGCCCTGCCTACCTAAATCATACAGCTGCCTGTATGATCAGCCTTTCTCTACGTTAGCTGAAGGTCTTCTATTACGATGGTGTGACAGCTTGTAACGAAACTATGTGCTCTGGTTAGAAGTCGCTAGAGCTCCAGAAAGAGTCGCCAGATTTCCGTTGCTGTGCTCAAAGCTCAAGGGCATATTATAATTCAAACCAACTAAATCTCTCCAGCTCCCTGCCCCCATGGTGACACTTTCGTAATAGGCAAGGCCAAGTCAGAGAGGTCATGCCCTGTATACAGTGTCAATCAAAAGAGACACTGCAAAATGTCAGAGGGGACCAGAAACACAACAGATCGCTCCAGCTGTCCTCACAGCTGCAGGCACACTTGTGGAATTGTGAGTAGGAAGGCCTGGCAGCCAGGGGATGGGAAATGAATTTCCCCAAGTTGAAAACCCTGTACCCTCACTTTCCTTCCCATAAACTTTTCTGTAGTTCTAGGCAAACAATAATAATATTGATGCGAATTAGGTGCTTTAGAAAGAGTATGTAATATTTGGGACTTTTTCGAAGTTGGTAGACCTAAAAAATGTTTCCAAAAATATATCTAGCTGCATTTCTACTGCTGTCATTCCTTAAAGCTCTCCTCCAAAAATTCCATATGAATGAATACATTTACCAACTCAGTGATTACTGAATAATAACACTTTATACTTATACACAGTCATACCTTTCATCTAAGGACCTCAAATGCCAATAAATTAGTCCTCGCCCTGTGAGGTGGATGACATATCATTCCCATTATTCCGATGGGAAAATTGGGCCATAGAAAACTGAGGAGCAAATGACTCATCTACAGGAACGAAATTGACAAAACAGCCTAGGATTTCTCAGCACACTTTGGGAGTGAACGAAAACATAGAGGCTTCAGTTCTACTGCTGGTCACCATTGGATTTGTAAGATCCAGGATGTGTGTTGACCACATGCGTCCAGACCCAGGCTTAGGGCATCGGGAATGAGAGTGGTGGGCTGGTGTGTGGGTCTGAGGATCTGGATGGGAGACTGCATTTCCTCTGTGCGAAGTATGGGAGTGTGATCTTGAAGGTGGGCTTAGTCTATGGCCTTCCCCACTCCCTCTTGAACTGAAGCTGGAGAGAATGGGCATTTTTAAATGTTGTGGCGTATGCTGATATAATATGATGGCATTAAATAAAAACGAGAAGAGAACTGACTAAAACCAAAACCAAAAACGCAAGCGACTGATTTCCTTTATCTTCTGCCTTCCCTACATGTATAGTTGTGAACGCAAGATTTTTTGAAAGAGGAAATCTTAATTTAGGTCGGAAGCAGTGTCCCCTGGAAACGGTTGCTCCCTTAAGCGTTGGGAGAACGGCCCTGGTTTTCATAGTATTGTTGACTTAGGAGACTGCCCCCACAACATGAAAACACATGGAAGGCCTTAACATTAAACCCATTTTAACCACCTGTAGAGCATGAGAGCCACTCCTAAGGCAAATGGCTGTCCATCAATGAGAATATCTAGACACACTGATGTGTGATAAGGCAGACTGCCAACTATGTTCAAGTGAAGTATCAGGCAGGTCAACACAGCACTCCATTTATCTGAGCAGACGGTCTCCGCAGACTCATCTTAGAAGCTTTTGAAAACCCCAAGCCAGGCTTCTCAATCCATGGAGACTCAGAAGCAAAATCTGAGTGACACCTGGTCAAGCACCACAGGTGGCTCTAAGGGGTACCCTGAGTTGAGCATCGCTGATCCAGAGCTTGCTGAGGCCGCCAGTGCCCAGCCTGGCACAGCCGTCCCCAGGATCTCTCCCCTCCCCCTGGGTGGTGAGGGGAGGGGGAGAGAGGAGAATGGGAGGGGGCAAGATTTTTATAAAGATGGTGATTTGCTCGAAGCTTGATTCCTTTTCATCTCGCCCTCATGTCTTTTCAGTCCCGGCCCCCTGAGCCTAGCTGTGTGTGCACTGGCAAACAATGCGGCCAGAGGACTCTGCCTTAGCTCGGTATTCCTCTGGCTGGCTGCTGCTTTCTCCTAGAACACGGTCTGTCTGGGTATAATGTCTTCCTTGGGCCTTAGCTCTGGATGATGATTGAGGGAGGGCTAGTCTGACATTTTTCACTAGACGAAAAAGTTAAAATTAAACATAACACACTGTCCTTGCTAGCAGGTAACTCACTAAACCTAATGCACAAAAATGGGGTAACCCATTGATCTTTTCCAGACTATATTTAACCATTAAATAAAATGTTGTCTCCTATTATAAAGAAAATTTCATCCATTATTACATCATGCATAACTGTGGAAGCTGGAAAAACAGGACATTAGAACTCAGAGGTGGGCCCAGTTTTCCAAAATGGACAATTTCTGCGAATTCAGAATTCAGGAGCCTCTGAGTAAGAGCACCCCCTGCAGGCCAACAGGAATAGAGCAATCTGAGAGAAAAGAAAATGCCCCTGGCATCCAGGAAAAGGCTCCTCTGTATGGCTGTCAAAACCAAGGTGCTGGCACTGTCTGTGGATGCAGATGAGAAGGCAGGCCATGCCTGTTAGAGCCATTCGTCTAGGTCATGGCCCTTGCCTTACACATAGGAGATCGAGATTCAAGAGAAATGATTTTCCCAGAATCAGATGGAGAATAATAGCCAGAAACTAAACTGGAACCTTTTCCTGTCACATTGATAATGCCTCCTGGGCTAATGTGCTACACTGAGGCCTGCCCATAGCCTCTCCGTGCTCTTTCTTGATTCATCCTCATATAGTAGCTGGTTATCCATTTTGCAAATGTTAGCTAAGAAGAAAAGATCCCCGCTTCTCAACAGACACACATTCACACACACATGCATACACCGTACATTGGCAACCTCTCAAAGAAAACAAAGCTAGGCATGTTGTGACTGGTTAAAATAATTCATAGTGCATTTTATATTCCAGGGGCATTGATCATTTTCAAAGTTATCTGCCTTTAGTTTAAAGAATTTACAGCTAATACTTGCAAAGCTACAAGAACCCCCAGTGGTCGAGAAACATTAAATTCGATTATTAAAATGATGTGATTTTATATCCAGCATTACAGAGGATTATGCTAATGATGGTCAAGGTTATTAATCTTCATTGCAGTCACCACTGCAAATAATACACGAAGATTAGCCAAAATTAACTTAATCTGCTTGTAGCATGAATTTGAAATTTACACGTTATTTTTTCTGAGAACAAGTCACACTTAATAGCATCTCTTAAAATGCATTCCCTCCCGCCCTGGGAAAACCAAAGGTGAACAACACGCATGCCATATGTTACCACTACCTGAGGGCAACTTCCTCTTCACTTAGGTAAAATGCCTTTCCAACTCTTTCCTGCTTCCTACTTTCAAACACTGGGGTATCACTTAAAAGCAATCAAGTATTCCTCAAGAAATAATGCATACAGTAATGGGGCACCCACACCCCAGTCACTCATCAAGGGAAATGTCAGGTCTTCTGTAAGTGCCTGTAAGCTGTGATTCAATTGCCCTTTCTTAGAACACCCTCCTCCCCTCCCACCTCCTGGAATGAGAAGGTAGATACATAACTCATCCTGAACTTCAGAATTTGGGAATCTTAACGAATTTACTCAGGATTTCCCAGAGACCTTTTTCCGAGACTAACAATGCAATGTTTACTTGAATCACAAGTTTGGGAACATAGGACCCTGTTTGATTGCAGTTTCGTTGAGAAAATCCTCGGTGAGTATGGTCAGATCATCGATAAGAGGAACTGACACTCTCAGTTCTGTTCTTGGAAATAAGATGCGAGAAAACTGTAGAGGACATTTATTCACTACCTCCAGAACACCCCTTCCCCAATTCTCTGCCAACAGCACGCAGATTTTTCTTTAGTGAATTTGCCCTTCCCCCATCCCACCTATGCACTTGGATGGGGTTAATATGACTTCCAGACCTCTGGTGGGGCATGGCAGGCTCAAGACATCAGAGTACCTCATCATCCTAGCCAAAACGGATGGGCATGTGGCCCAAATCAGGCCAATGGGAGCAAATGAACCCCAGAGCCCAGGGCTTGAGTCGGAGCTACCAGAAAAGACCCTCTACCCCTGGAAGGCGCGGTTCTGCTTTGGTCATGAGCTGCTACAACCCTTCTGTTTCATGAGGGGAGAAGGAGGAGTTGAGAGAGAGCCACTATGTGGAACATGAGGATGAAGACCACCAAAGGCAGAAGGGAGAGGAGAGGGGATCTTGTGTGGCATAATAAGAAATATGGCCAGGCATGGTGGCTCACCCTTGTAATCCCAGCACTTTGGGAGGCTGAAGTGGGTGAATCATGAGGTCAGGAGTTCAAGACCAGCCTGGCCAATATGGTGAAACCCCATCTCTACTAAAAATACAAAAATTATGGGGCCAGGTGCAGTGACTCACGCCTGTAATCCCAGCACTTTGGGAGGCCAAGGCGGGTGGATCACAAGGTCAAGAGATTGAGACCATCCTGGTCAACATGGTGAAACCCCATCTCTACTAAAAATACAAAAAATTAGCTGGGCATAGTGGCACGTGCTTGTAATCCCAGCTACTCAGTAGGCTGAGGCAGGAGAATTGCCTGAACCCAGGAGGTGGAGGTTGTGGTGAGCCGAGATCGCACCATTGCACTCCAGCCTGGGTAACAAGAGTGAAACTCTGTCTCAAAAAAAAAAAAAGAAATATATTGGGTCTTTGTTCCTGGTTCCTGGCACAGAGCTCCTAAATCCCATGGGATTTCCTGGGTGATAGGACCCCCTTCTTGTTATAATAAGATAACTCTTCCTGGGCTCCTGGACAGCTCCAAAATGGGAGCTGGTCACCAGAAAACCCAAGCTTTGATTAGAAACCTGGAACCTTCAGCCTGGCTAACATGGTGAAATCCTGTCTCTACTAAAAATATAAAAATTAGCCAGGCGTGGTGGTGCACACCTCTTTCAGAATTGCTTGAACTTGGGAGGCAGACGTTGCTGTGAGCTAAGATCACACCACTGCACTCCAGCCTGGACAGCAGAGCAAGGCTGTTTAAAAAAAAAAAAAATTGATCATGCCTATGTGATGATGAAATCTCTGTAAAAACCCTTAAACAACAGAGGCTAGAGAACCTCCAGGTTGGTAAACACATCCATGTGCTGAGGGGGGCACGCCCCAGCTCCGTGGATAGAAGCTTCTGTGCCTGGGATGCTTCTGGGTCTTGCCCTATGTGCCTCTTCTCCCGGCTGTTCATTTGTATCCTTTATAATTTCCTTTAAAATAAATCCATGAACATAAGTAAAATATGTTCCTGAACTCTGTGAGCCATTCTAGAAAATTGTTGAACCTGAGGAGGGGGTTGTGGGAACCCCTAATTCATAGCCAGTCAGTCAGAAGTATGAGAAGCCAGGACTTGTGAAGTGAAGGGCAGACGGAAGTGAAGGGCAGACTTGTGGGACTGAGTCCTTAACCTGTGGGGTCTGCTGACTCCAGATAGTTAATGTCAGAATTGAATTGAATTGTCAACAGCTGTTCTTGTCTGAAGAATCAGAGAACTGGTTGTTGATGTTGGAGAATACACCACCTTGGTAACATCCTAGGAGCCAATGAATCTTCTAACTCCTGAGCCAGTAAATTTGCTTTATATTGCAATCATTTGGAGGTGAATTTTCTGTCATATCCAATATAAAGAGTCCTGGTGGAGAAGAACCAACCTCCGGAGCACACATCAAATCTCCCAGAGGAGTAACCAGAATGAGAATGAGGAGATATGCCTGTTCAGTAGTTCTCACATTTAAAACGTTTAAAACACAAAAATTAAGCAGGCTAACAAGGAAATTTGGAATGTCAAAATTGACTTTAGCATGTACCACCAAGTTAGCAGAGTGATGGAGAAAGAAAAGAACCACAGAAGGAGATTCTGTTAAACGAAGCAAATTAGTTAAAAAAAAAAAAAAAAAAAAAAAAAAACTAAAGCAGAAAATGACCTATCAGTCAGGAGAGGGGGATGAGTAGAATAAAAGGGACCTAAGATCTTAGTATTTGAATCTGTCTATTTTTGCTGCTATAACAGAATACCTGAGACTGGGTAATTTATAACAAACAGAAATTTTTTAGCTCACATTTCTGCAGGCTGGGAAGTCCAAGATTGAGGGGTCGACATCTTTTGAGGGCCTTCTTGCTCCATCATCCCATAGGTAGAAGGTGGAAGAGCAAGAGAGGGCACAAGAGTGAACTTGCAG